TTCATGCTTCCTGTGGATGTCCAAGTGCCTGTTGATGGATTGTACAATTCAGCACTACTGAGATAAGTACTACCGGTATATCCACCAGTAACTAATACTGATCCATTTGCTAACACGGTTGCTGTGTGAGAATATCGGGCGACACTCAGGTTTCCTGTGATTGTCCATTCTAGATAAGGTAGAAAAGTAAGTAAAAAATGTTGTTCTTAAAATGATTTCGAATCACTAATGTGCATAAGTTGTTTCTCTATTAATGACAAAGTAAATGATTTCAAGCCTTCAATAAACTTGTCTTCGTTTTCATGATTAAGATAAGACTCATTATGAAATGTTAAATTAATGAAAACAAGATGTACTTCTACTATCCTAGATAAATGGTGTATGCATATGCCAGGATGTAGGTAAGAATGAATGCCAATGTGGATGTGAGTATAAGTGAGAGAAGATAATTTTCGGTTCTTTCTCATGAGAGATTTAGTATACTAAGGATTAAATCATACAAGATTTGCATATTGATTCATTTCTTGAAATCTTTTATTTTTATTTAAGATGAGATTCTGACCAGAAACTAATTCTAACTGAATGAAGAAAGATCACGAAATTGAATTCATCTAATTTATGAGTGTCTTCTCGGAATTCTTCATTATTCAAGTATATCTAGTTGTACTGTTAAGAGATTCTTTCTGAGACAGAGGGAAAATTTCACATGACATGTTTCGATAATATTCAGAAGTGCCAAATTTCCAATTCAGGTTCAATTTTTCTGCATGACTTAACGAAGTGCAATACTAACATCAAACTACTTGTGATCATCATCTTAATCGAAAAAACGCTGTAATTTCTTATTTATTTCCTAAAGATCTGTTCGATGCGTTATATTTCTATGGTATTATTATGAAAACTTGTTTCATGAACAACGATATTTTGTATAGATCTACGAATATGAAAAGGATAATATCGAAAAGCGCTTTTAATGAAGTAATTATCTCACTTCTTCTTCATTATTCTATTCATATTCGATGATATTGATTGTTTTGTTTAAAAAGAATTGCTTCTAAAAAGATTTTGGCATAATGTTTTTTTTCTGTCAGTTTGAGTGGAACCGATTGGTGATTAATACGAAAATGTGTCTAATATCTCTGTCAAGTTGTCTTAATTTTCGATAGCCTGAAATTATTTTTCAAGCAAAAATAGCATTCTCCCTCTCACAGATATTTTTTTACTTACCCGCTGGAAAATGTGCTCCACTAATAACATTCATAGTAGTAGTATCCACATCAACCAACATATTTCCGTTTTGGTTCAACATATTATGAAACAATTCACAATTAGAAGTTGATTGATAAAAAGTTGCTGCTGTGCATTGACTTTGAGTCAAACAGGCTATTTGACAATTCTTAATGTTTGATGTAATAACACTAATGAATGGTAAACAGGTTGTATTGGCACATTGAAATTTAGAATCAGGCATTAATGACATTATCATTGATTGTGAATCGCCTCTGACTACTTGTGTAATAATCATAAACAAAAGCCATAAAGAAACTCTCATTAAAGCCATCAACCACCAATTGTAGGTTAATGAAATGAATTTAACTCATAATAGAAGGCAAAGTATTTGTTTAGCGATAAATTCTATTTTTTCTCTCTTTCTCTTTCTTTTTCTCTCAATTCACTTCATCACTGTAATAAAAAGCTAGCTATGATTTCTATTTCTTATTTCCTCTCGTCCATCTGATGAGAAAAACAATTCTGACTTTTTATTTTTACAAATATTATATATTCGGAAAGACGATTTGCCTGTGTTTAAATGTTATTTAAGGAGAAATATATTCATAAATAGAGCTTTGGAGTTATTCGGAAGATTAATAAACATAATTTATTTGAAATTTATTTCATTACGTAGATGTATAAATTAGGGATGCATTCAAACTCAATAGATAGAATCTGAAGATTTCAAAGTTATCACGAAGATTATAAAATGTGTATCGCTCATCAATTACGTCATTCATATAGAATAATATCAATCTTTAGTATCTAAAAGAAGAATAATCAGATGAAGTTTTTGATTTTACGCAAGAACTAAAGCAAATTGATCGGAGCACTCGTCCAAAATTATACATACTCAACTCAAATTTTTAGTGTCCTAATTGATAAATAAATATTATAATTTGTAATTCAATAGATAATTCCATTTTTCTTCACTAATGAGAAAATGATCTAAACAATTAAGATTAATGTCTATGTGCAATAGTTTTAATGAAGAACAAAGCATTCTATTCATCATAACAACACATTTCAATGTACTTTTTGTCTCAGCAAGATATAGTCATCCGATAAATGTTTGCTTTAGTTTTCCTTCTTTTTCTCTCATTTGTATGGTGCCATGATGTATTATGTATGGAGAAGAAGAAAATATTAGTTGCAAATTTTTTGAATTTTTCTTCAAACAAAAACCCATGAAAACAGAGATTGTGTAAGCAATTAGGTTAGTTATAATCACAATAGTACAAAGTACGTCTGAATAAAAAATAATGGGAACCAAGGCAAACGTTTTGTGAATAGACAAGAATATCCACGTGATTACAGTAGGCAAACTAACACACTAAACTATTGACGTCTTTTCTTTCTTCTGATATTTTGTTGGAGAAAACAAATTCTTTCAAAATTTGAATATATTATGCACGACTTCAGTGCATATAATTATTTTCAATGACTGAGGATCTATGTTATTTCTTTTTGATTTTAATGATATTGAATTGTTTTACTGAAGATTATGTAGAACGCGAATATAGTAAATCTAATATTTATCGACAATACAATAATTAACATTTAGTAAATGTGAAGAGGATGCATTTCTACGAGAGAGAACTACGCGAATCCGCCGACAAACGTTACTTTTGTTAGTTTCGGAAAAAAGAAAAAAAAGATGTTTACCTAAATTATAATTTATAATTGAAAAACCAAGGCACTTATTTTAGCTTCGGAAAAAAGAGTAAAAAAAACGTTTATCTAAATTATAATTTATAAATGTAATACGAAGGCACTTATGTTAGTTTAGAAAAAAAGAGGAAAAAAACGTTTATCTAAATTATATTTTATAATTGAAATATGAAGGCACTTATGCCAGTTTGATGATGAGTGTGGGTGAGTCTGAGTATTCCATTTCACGCACACCTTCTACGAGAACGAGAACTTCAAATTCAAACATTAGATACGATGAATCCGATATTATTAAGCTCTATTTTTGACATGATAATGATTCGAAAAGTTTTAATACAATATTGAGTGAAGTTAAGCAATTTCAATAGTATATTCATTATGAAATTTATGATCATAATTCAACATACAAGAAATAAATATAAGTTATAACTTCAAATATACTTGATTATGAATATTTATTTAGTTTTATCGTAGCAAAATCAATTACATATAATTTACTATATTATTTCAGAAATATTGATATGATGTGTTAATGGATTACTAACATAAAAATAATTTAATTTATTCATAAAATTGTTAGATTTATTCAAAAAATTATAAATTAATAATGCATAAACAATCGATTTATTATTTTGTCAAATATCGAAAGATTTAAATATCACCATATTTAAAGAATTACTAAATCTGAAAATGAATAGATTCAAATTAATGTATCAACAGTGAATATATATTTGAATTTTAGAATATGAAATATTTGATTTTGATACTGAAAATGACAAATAAAAAAAAATAATCTAACTTTAGTCTTGTTTTATGATTAAATAATTAACATACATAGATAAAGATTTTTTAAAATATAAATATTCTTTATCTACTGATGATTAGATATGGAATACAGATCTGAATATAATGTGCTTGAGATTTAACAATAGAAACTTCTATGTCGAAGATCCTGAATTACTGATCATACTTACTAAAGAGTATATAAAAAAAATTATTATTCCGACTTTTAAATATAATATTAACTGATATATTATCCTTGATTTGACATGCAGTTAAACAAATAATTGATTAATTATTCACTGAATTGTCTCTTAATAAAGTCAATGCACTTTTGTTCAGATATGCTTTATCTATAATTATATAGTCAGTTTTTATCTTCCTCTGATTAGCACTATAATAACTATTGATTAACTCATATATCAATATACTTCATAATAAAAAGTTATTCAATTATGTATGACACTTATCGAAAATAATCCTCGCGTATTATTGAGTGAATTCAAATATAGACTATTCATGTCACACGTGAGTTTATTCTAGATCATTTTTTATCCATTTACAACGTTACAAAGTTAACAGTTTAACTTTTCTATTCAAATCTTCTTTTCATATATACAGTATAAAATAACCATGATTGTAAAAATAAAATTTCAATTCTTACCAAATGAAATATTATTTCAATGTTTTCAATATCTCAATGCACCAGATCTGTTTCATTCATGTGATCAATTAAATTCTCATTTTTCTACACTTATTCGAGATATTCCACTATATTTAAATTTTTTAAAATGAAAAAATCCTTATTTCATCATTTTTGTCAAATCATTCTATTAAATTCTGAAATAAAACAAAAAATTATCTATTTACAATTATCAAATGATGGAATAAATGGTCAAATTGAACATTTTCTTTCATTATTTTCATTAAATACATTTCTTAATCTTCGATCATTATCATTAATTGATTTAAACGAAAATAATATTAAACAACTATTATCAATATTACCATTTTTATCTAATTTATATTCTTTTTCCTTTACTGGTACAAATATTGAAACATTAGAAATAATATCCTCAATATCAAAATCAAAATTACGAATATTAACAGTACCTCGTTTGGATTTTGAATCAACATCAATTAATCAAACAATAGGAATAACATCATTAACGATAACTGAATCTAAGACCGATAATTTTAATTTATTTAAGTTATTTGAATATGCACCAATGTTAAAATATTTAAATATTCAAACATTAGTAAATTCTGAGATTAAATACAAGGAATTGAAAAAAATGCTAATTATTTAAAAGAATTTATTATAATTGATTGTAAAATTAGATTTGAACATCTTATATTATTATTAAAATATACACCAAATTTTAAAATATTTTCAATATTTATCATGAGTGATATCTATATGTCTGATGGTATTCGTTGGCAAAAACTTATTGAAACTTCATTAAAACATTTATCAGTTTTTAAATTCCATTTTCAAGATAAAAAATCGGATAAACCAATGGCAAAATTGAATAAATTTCAACGATTTCAAAATGATTTTTGACATAAACAACATCAATGGCATACTAATTTAGAAATTTATACTCGTACTTCAACAATTTATACAATTCCATACGAAAGAAAGAATTATGAATTAACATTTAATACAAATAAACATGGTTATTTAAGGATGAAAAATTGCAATGTATTTGATAATGTTAAAACATTAACTTTAACAACAAAACTAATTACAAACAATGCGGAATGTTATTTCATAAATGCTGAATCATTAATATTAAGACGTTACTCATATGAAAACTTTTATGAAGATGATGATGATAAACCGGATTTAAACTCAACAAAAATCAAATTACTTCGTACAATTGTTAATCTATCAAATATCAAATATTTAACAATTGATAATGATATTTACTTAACTTCAGCATTATTCCTAGATTTATTAAAAGAATTACCGAATGTTTCATCACTAAAAATCGATGAAGATCAGTTGATGAAGATTTTCGATAATATTGAATTATGTGAATATCTAAATAAAAATATTAAAAAATTAGAAATTTTTTCTTCTCAATTCTTTGATAAAAGAATTTTTTTAAATAAAATTAATATATTATTTTCTCAAGTATTTCCAAATATCGAACAATTTACATGTACTTATATGAAACGGGTTGATGATTTATTAGTAATATTAAAACAATGTTCAAAATTATCAATAATAAAGTGTGAAGTAATTAGTAAACCTGTAAATTCATGGATTCAAATTAATGCATCAAAATTAGATGTCTATCTTGATTTTAAATCGGTTAATGAAGAAACTGATGACGAAGAAGATAACGATGATGATGACGATGAATATGGCTATGATGATGATGAAGAATAAAAAAACGACATTTAATAATTGGAGATTTAGTCTTATTTTTTTTTATAAATAAACTGATCAAGAAATATTATCTCTTTTATAATACTAAAAAAAATATTCAATTGAATTATCACTCATAATAATATTGTAGATACTATTTGTTTGATTTTGTCATCATTTCTATGAACAAAATTTAATATAAAAATTGATACATTGTATAATAACAGAAGCAAATAAAGAATTCGATAGTTTTAACAATATTTTTATTGCAAATCAGCAAGATCATAAATTCTATTTAACACTTATTTATATTCACCTTCCAAATCAATATCTTTTAAAAACACTCATAAAATACATAATCATCGTTGATTCTATGCTTTTCATATGTTCATAAGTTAAGATTCTTTCTCCATACATCAACAAATGATGAAAACATTTCAAACAAATAATCATCTCTCTTTTTCAATAAATCATTTATGTATCTGTCTTTGTAGTTTACAATGTCTTTTTTAGATTTTAGTTATACATATTATCATTATATTCATTTCTCAATATTCGTGATAATTCTTTACACAATTACAAAAATAAACTCATAACAGATTAATGTTAATCATCAGAAAATCATTTCTTGTTCTTATTTCATAACATAAACTCTCACTTCATTAATACCAAGTATTCGATCGATTTCAACTCGTTAATAACATCATCTCATCAATTATAACTGAATCTAATGAACAATTGATCCTTTAAGACTAAAATTTTGCTGTTCCTAAATTTAAAGATAATGAAATATTCTTTATTTTTCCATGACAATGAATTTTAAAAAAATAAGAAATGAACTCCTTTTCTAAAAACTACTATTAATAACATTAACTAAATTAGTTTCATATCTGATCATTTTATCTAAAATATTTTTTACTTTGGGTAAGAGAAATGCGTTTCAAAAAAATAACAGTCACATGAAAAATAAGAACATAAAGTAATGAAAAGAGTATTAAAATAATAACTGAATCTCTTATTTATGTTCGCAGACTTGTGCATAATGAATGAATTCCTATAGAGAAATTATCAAGTAAACATGAATCTATTCAAGTGATGTTTTCTTTTAATTTCGTTAATCAAAACAAAATCACATAACCGATAATGTTTCAGACATCGAACGAAGAAATATTACAATTTTAGACGTGATCAAAGAACAAAGAAAAAGTATCTCATGAGAATGAAAATTATAGACATTGAAGAGTTCTTTTTCTGAAACAGACGCTTACAAAATATACATATTAATACACTTGAATGAATAAATCAATCAATCAAAATAAAAGGAATCTATTTTTGATTTCAAGGACACAAACAAGTGTTAAGAGAAATAGCTTTAGGCTCTTTCAGCGAAAAGAGTAATGTAGGAGTAATGGGAAAAAAAGAGTAAAGAAAAATCATTCATTGTTGTGCATACTTTATTTTTTCATTCATCACACAAAAAATAATGCGATCTATCATTGCCTTGTTTTTCATCTCATCTTTTTCATCTATAAGAGGTCTGTTAGATTATCTCTTTTCATTTGACTCTATAACAATATAAATGAATTCTATAGGACAAACTACACAAATACCTAACTATTCTTGTAGTGACAATAATGCTTCTATTCATTTTACATTATCTTCATCATCTCATTCAGCTTCAAATTCAACATCAAATTGTTTTTTACAACAATGTATTGTAAACTCAAACAATAATAATAATAGTTGTCGTTCATCATCAACACCTTGTTTTGATTATCGAACGATAAATAATATTAGCTTTTGTGCACCTGGTATTTTATGTTCAATATTAGAAAGATGTGATAATATTACACAAACATGTCCATCAAATAATTCAATATGTATTATTAATTCATGTTGTTCTTCATCACAACCAGTATGTTTACCATTGTTAGCAACACAAGTGTGTGAAAGAGGTAGAAATACATATTATTTACATTTGAGACTCCATCAAAATCAATTAGAACAAATCATTTTATTCATAGTTATAGATAAAGTATCATTCATTTGTATGAAATTTCTGTCAAGTGATACTTTTTTTTGTAATAAAGACAAATGTAATAGACAGAATAATATAGATGTGTTTCAATAGGAATACTATGGACCTAGTAGGGATATCTTAGATAGAATAGTATGGATCGCTCAGAAATATCTGAGTAGTGATATTGGTGATTTCTTAGAAGTACTCTACTGAAAATAATAGAAATTCGCTCAGGGTACCCCAGTAGTATATTAGAGGTTTTTTGACACATTATGCAGGGCATACTAAGAAGCTTGCAGGAGGCACTCTAATGTAATACTAGGGGTCTCTAACTAGGTCTCTAAACTAGGCAATACGAATCGCTTAGGAGTACCCTAGGGAAGATATTAAGATTTTCTTAACAATATCATAGAGGTAATAGTGAGGATCTCTTAGGATTACTTCATAAGGAATATATTGGATCCACATAGTATCTCCATAAAATCGGGGATATAGCATCTGGAGAAATCCCAACAGATATATTTTATTATACTAAATAATCGTAAGAATCTTTACTATTCTTTTTAAAAGGTATAGAGTATTACCAATTTGTCTTTAATGTCAATCAGCTCTCAGAACTGACTGACTGAATAGTTCAATTCTTCGCATATGAATTGTTCAAGTGGGTTAATTCAGATCAAAGAACGAGTGT